CCTCCTCCTCCTCCTCCTCCTCCTCCTCCTCCTCCTCCTCCTCCCCCCTCCCCTCCCTCCCTCCCTCCCTCCCTCCCTCCCTCCCCCTCCCTCCCTCCCTCCCTCCCTCCTCTCTCTTCCCTCCTCCTCCTCCTCCTCGCTCCCTTCCTCCCTCCCCCCTCCCTCCTTCCTCCCTCCCTCCCTCCTCCTCCTCCTCCTCCTCCTCCTCTCCTCCTCCTCCTCCTCCTCCTCCTCCTCCTCCTCCAAGGCCTATGCGCTCACATGGTGGAGGCCCGTGCCCACATGGCGCTCTGCCTGCGGGGGGGTCTCTGACTACACTGCGAGGCCACCCCAACCCCTAAGCCGAAGACAAGAAAGTTTCGGGCCGGGGTTGTGGATGTCATGGCTCCTCCTCCTCCTCCTTCTCCTCTCCTCCTCCTCCTCCTTCTCCCCCTCCTCCTCCTTCTCCCCCTCCTCCTCCTCCTCCTCCTCCTCCTCCTCCTCCTCCTCCTCCTCCTCCTCCTCCTCCTCCTCCTCTTCCTCCCCCTCCTCCTCCTGCTCCTCCTCCTCCTCGCGGACAGACCTGTGAAATATTCTCTGGCGGCTCCCCCATGAGGCTCTGAAGCCAGCGTCTCGCTGAAGCCATGCTGCGAGGCCGCCCCAACCCCTAACCCGAAGACCCGGATATTTCGGGCTGGGGAGTGTGGCTGCCATGGCAATGGACACCCCAGCAATCCTATCGTTGGAACAAAAGAAGCGTTTGGGATGTCGGGGAATGTTTTAAACCATTTCTCAAGCCTGTTGCTTCACATGCTTAAAGCATGTTTCAAGCATGTTGTAGACATCTGGGAATGATTTGGCAACGTGCTTCCTCTCCACTGATCGTCGTCCACAAGGTTTTGCAATGCTCCCCAAAGCCCCCCGGCACTGAAGCGGAGGGCAGCTCGGGGCCTTCTGGTAAGGTTGGGGTGGCTGCTGGTGGGCGGTGATCTGCGCATTGCTCTTGCAAAGCCGGTGGGTGCTGGGTCTGCGCCAGCCGGTTCCTTGGGCGTGCCTCCGTGCTGCCCTCCACAAGCTCCTCGGCTCCGCAGTTCCTTGGCTCCTTGGGCTTGCTTTTTCTCGGCATCGGCTCTTCTGCCATCCTCGGGCCCCTTGTTTCCTCGGTTCCCTGGTTCCCTGCTTTGGGTTCCTCTGTCTCGAGCCATCAATTATTTCTTTCTTTGGTCTGGTCCTCGTTTATTGGATCATGAACTCCTAGGTCTTGGTTCCTTGTTCAGTGGTCTTGGCTACCTTGCTCTTTGATCTTGATTCCGTGGTTCCTTGGTCTTGGTTCCTTGCTGTCTAGCCACGCAATACCAATCACTCCCAAACGAGATGCGATATGCCAAGCAATACGCCAAACAATACGCCAAGCAACATACGACACGCAATGCCACGCAATGCGCATGTGCAACGCAACAGGAAGCTTTCCCCTCACATGGGGCCGCGCGGGGCTGCCTCTTCGGATTGGGGGGGAGGGAGCTCGGGGAGCCGGCGGCGCGAAAGTGCACGCGAGCGCTGGCAACCCCACTCCGATCTCTCGGAGCCAGGGGCGGCGCTCAGGAACCACCGCCAGCCAGTATGCACTCCGTCGGCCCGTTCGCGATGCCCATGAGGAATTTCATGTAATGCTTCTTGACGCTCGGCTTCCCGGGGGATGCGCACCGCCTCGCGCAGCCGCTGTCCACGTCCCAGCCGTACGTGACATTGAACTGGATCGCCTTGTCCGCCAGCCACTCGGCGAGCTCCAGGTGGGCCAGCGTCTCGTTGTAGGTCCGGGTCTCCTTCGCCTCTGCACGGAGGAGTGCAAAGGCCGAGACAACGGCGGCTGGCCCCCGGCGCCCTCTTGTCTTTTGCGGGGGCTCCTGCGAGGCTCCTCGTCGCCATGGATGGAGCCACGTCAAAAATCGGGAGCGGCAAAGAGGGGGGCGTCAAAGAGGGGGGGGTGCAAATCATGACGGGCGGCATGTGCGCGGCCCAGCGGGGGGCCGGGGACATAATGAAATAAGAAGAGGCGCCATGAAATCTGGGGAAATATCATGGCCCCCGCCATGATATCCACCCCCCCCTAGTCATCACCCCCCTCTTTGCCGCCCCCGAAAAAGAATAGTCAGGATGGACCAAGGGAGGGGCCCGGAAACCGATTTTGGAGCGGACTTGGGCCCGGTGGGCGAGCCGCTGATGTCTCAACTGGCCCTCCTCCGATCTACGAACTTGTGCTCTGTGCCAGATGTAAGGTCCTCGTGGACAGCCGTGTGCTCGTCGAGGAGGCCCATTTTCATCCCACAGGTGAAATGGAACGTGGCGTCCATTCCCCAGCCCATGGAGTTCTTATCAGTGTCAATCTGCCTCCGCCAGCACTCCCACGCACGATGCGAGAACACTGTAAAGAGCATATCAATGTACTTCGTCACACGGACAACGCACTTTCTCTCGGCATCCCTCATCATCACTTTCCAGTGCCAGGAAGGCTGCACGGGGGCGGCCACCTCGAGGTCGTACTGCTGCATCGTCCTGAGAAAGGCTGGCATCCGGACCCCTGCTGGAGATACGTCGTCCATCATGATCGCGACGTATGTGCTGTTGGACCGCACCATCTTCATGTAGTCCGTCCAAAAGCCCCTGGCACGGACCACGGTGCAGGCGTACGGGCTCGGCATCGTGATGGCGACGTCCGTGTACGCGAAGATGAAGCACTCGAACCCGTAAGTCGGTGGCAGAGCCCGCGCCACGCGGACGATGTTTGATGGGCCTGTTTTCCACCACCACCACCACAAGTTGGACGGGGAAAGGAGGTGGAGGACGAGATGGAGGAGGAGGAGGAGGAGGAGGAGGAGGAGGAGGCGGAGGCGGAGGAGGAAGAAGAAGAAGAAGAAGAGTAAGAGGAGGACCCCCTCCCCCGTCCTGCTTATGGTGGGGGCGGTGGAGAACAGGCCCACCAATGTTCTCCACCATGAAGCGGGTGCGCCTCGCGTCGCCGTGCCCTGGAACCACCAGGGCCAGCGACGGGGCGGACGACCGCGCCCCCCTCCCGAGGTGGCCGTCGGTGAGCCCCCCGGGGGTCTGCTCGCGAAGCAGGAGGGCCCACGCCGCGGAGCCCGCCGCCACCGCGCCGGCGAACGCGCCGAGCGCTTGGAACGCCCGCAGCATGGCCGATGGGCAGATGTTCCACCACCGCTGCCATGTGTGGGGCGGGGGAGCAGGGGGGATGAGGAGGTTTTCCTCCTCTTCCGCCTCCTCCTCCTCCCCCTCTTCCTCCTCCTCCTCCTCCTCCTCCCTCCCTCCTCCTCTCCTCCTCCTCCTCCTTCCTCCTCCTCCTCCTCCTCCTCCTCCTCCTCCTCCTCCTCCTCCTCCTCCTCCCTCCATCCCTCCCTCCCTCCCTCCCTCCCTCCCTCCCTCCCTCCCTCCCTCCCTCCGCCTCCTCTCTCTCCTACCTATGGTAGTGGTCGTGGAACATGGGCCCATCAATGACCGCGACGGGGGCATCCGCAGGCCGCGCGGGGAGCGTGCGGTGGCTGCCGCAGCCCGGGGTCTTTTGCAGGCGCCCGCGCCTTCCCTCGGCCAGCAGCGGCCACGGGAGCCCTTGGGCCTCCCAGATGGGATCCGAGTAGATGGGATCGGAGGATCGCGCCGCATGGGCGACGTCGGCGATGCACCGGCGACGTCGGCGTGGGGAAACACGGGCTCCACATCGAGCCGCATCGCCGATGCACCGCCGATGCGGCGCGATCCTCCGACCCCATCTATTCGAACCCCATTTAGGAGGCCTAAAGAACAACTGATCCTGGGTTATGAACGTGGACCAAAACAAATGGTAGGCGACCGCTCATGACTAATGAAGCATCTGACGAAGCAATGTTCGCGAAGAACAGCGCAGGTCACTGGCATATCAAGTCAAGAGGTTCGCCCGAGTGTCACTCATGTAAAACAGGGCTAGGATCGGAATAAATCGCTCCAGAGCGTTCCGGAGCGCTCTCAGAGCGTTCCGGAACGCTCTGGAGCGGCCGCGGCGCCCAATACATCCTCCAAACCCGCCGATTCTCAGAGATTTCGAGTTATCCCGATCTGATTTTGTCCCGATCTTCGCGTCGTTTGATCATGCCCACCAGGACTCCAAGGATGCAGAAGCCCAAGAACATCTCTCTATGCCGGACGGGTCGTGCTGGAAGGGTCGTGGTGCTCCCGCTGCGGCGGCATCGCCGCTAGGACGGGGGGGGGGCACTGGGGCAAGACCTTCTTGAAAAAGGTGGTGGGGCTGATTGACGGCCTGTCGTGGGAAGGCCATCGGCTACGTACAGTCGGGGCCTTGACCTAAGGAACCCCAAATAAGGAACGAGGCCCCTTTTTTTTCCATAAGTTAACCTTCGATTTCCGATCGAAAACATAAGGGAAACTTGAGGCAAGTTGCGAAACACTTAAGTAACACGGAGCCCCTCCCCAACGAAAAGGGTTCCTTCTTCAAGGCCCCGACTGTAGCACAGAACGAGCGAGGAATACGCGAAGAGTCGGGCCCTCAGCACAGCAGTCCGGCAGCAGACCTCCACCGCAGGCCGGGAACAGTCTGGACCCCCTCGCGGCCCACGCAATCAGGCCAAAAACAAATGCCCAAAGGTACTGAGCAGAGATGGCCCCGCGGGGGGCATGCAAGCGATCCCCAGGGCTCCCCGGTCGTACGGAGGAGGATCCTCGCTTGCCCCGCGGGCGGCTGCGGTATTTTCAGCACCACCCCCTGCGAAGCTGCGGGCGGAATCCTGGGCAGCACGGAGAGACACTCGGGGGCACGCACGCCGAGCACTCTTCTCCGTGCCCGCCACGGCCCTCATCGGACACCACCAGGCCTGGAGATTGTACGCCCCTGGCAGGGGGCAGTGCTACCCTGGGGCCCGGGGGCTCCTGCTCCTGTGCCTCGGAGCCCTTCTCCTCCTCCTGCTGAGAACTGCTCGCTCTGTCGGCTGCCATGCGCCACGCTGCCCCCTCCCTTCCGCTTCGGGGGTAGTGGAGGCCGAGCTGTCACCTGAGAGGGGTATATAGAAGAACTGAAACTGGTGCCATCCGTCAACTCACAGACAACATGATTCGTCTGGTGCGAGAAGACGGGCGAGGACGTGAAGGACTATGCCACTACATCTACCTGCTGCCAACGCTTCACCGCATCATCAAAACATATACTTGCCGCGCCGTCATCCACAATAGCATGGAAACTACTTTCGTACGAATGCGCCACTGCATCGATGCATTTTGCCGTTACAGCCGAAGTAATATCCTCTTTGACGCACGTCACCTGGACTTATGACCAGCCCACCATCAAACCTGAACCCCAAGCAGGGAAGCCAGCGAAGCCAGCGCACTCCAAGCCATCGTCAATGGTACGATCACCACCAGATTGATGACCTCCCACAGGCGGGACCAAAATGAAGCTTCCACCACACCGCTGGCATCAAGTTCGCGGAAAACTCGAGGTGAAGCCAGCGACCAAGATCGAACAAGTGGACGACTTGCAACATGAGGTTGCATTTTGTTGTGATGTTTGTGTCCCCCCTGCTCTCGCTGAGTTTGGAAGTTCGTTTTAGGCACCGGCGGTCCAATCGCGGCTGGAGCAGTTCGTCAGGAGGCAACTTCTGAGAGGCCTTGGTCAGAACGCTAAAACCTACAAAGCCCAAATCCAGGACCACTAAGCCGGAGCAGGCCAAGACTGAACTCAAGAGTATTCCAGATCAAACGGCATCTAGCGGGGTTGGGCACGATGAAGCGGGATCCAACGAGATGTGGTCGGCTTCGACTAGGGCTATACCAAAGCGGTTTGTTTGAGTGTCACCCCCCGGGAAATACATCCTGAGCAACAGACGTGAGAAGGACACGCATCGAAAGATCATGCACGTCAGACCCTCACAAAACACTCGCATCCAAAGTGCAGGCCGCGGACGGGTTGAGGGTAATCCGGGAACTCCGAGGAACGCATGGGGCTGTCAGGTCAACAACCGGCCAATGGGTCTTCTATGAAAGGGGGGGGGCCCAGCACGACAAACCTTCAACAAAAAACCCAATCCTGAGACCCCAGGCCGTCAATTGATTTCTGGTGCGGGAAACCCAAGAAACCCAAGAAACCCAAGGCGCCCTGGAGGTAAGCAGGGTGCTTCTCGGCATGGGCCCCCACTGTCGCCAACGTGCCCTGGAGGACTTGGTCAGGCTCTTGCTGCGACAAAAACACGTCGGATACCACTCGGGCGTTCTAGAGTGGGCGCGACATACACATGCGCCTGCGTGCGGCATGTGGCCAATCACTGTCACCTGTCCGGCTGGGAAGAAGTGGAGCAACATTGGCCGACGCGTGCTTGACGCGGTCACCATGGCCGCCGACACGCGCCTCGCCCTTCTGGCACTCGTCGACCTGCCGGACGCACGAGCTCGGTGCCTCCAGAGGGGAGGAGCGGAAGGCGCGGGCGGGCCCGAAAAATGGCGGCCGCGTGGAGCCCCTTCAAGGGCGCCCCGCCACGACTCCAGGCCCGCCCCGCCCATCGTGCAGGATCACTCCCTCTCCACCTTCGCCTGGTCCTCCTGCAGTCCAGCTGCTGGGAACGAGGTAAGGAAAGAAGCCACCGTGTGGCCCCGAAAGATCCTGGATTAACAGGGAGCGCTGGAGGAACAGCCATGAAAGGACCTAAGGAGCAGCGAGCCCCCTCCTTGCAGCAGCGAGCCCCTAACTATCCTTGCAGCGGGCCTTCTCTCAGAGCTGCAGGGCGGCGGTAATGCCCAATGCCGACAACAAGCTCGCAAAAACTCGCCTCCTCAACCTCGCTCCACTTGCCTTCCTCGTCGCCAGCCCCCCCCCTGCCCCCGCGCCCTTCGGAGGCAACTCCAGGGCGGTCTCCCCAAGAACGGCTCAGGGCCATCAAGCACCCGGAAAAAGCCGGACTTCGCCTGGGATTAAGCCACATGAGCTGGCATGGATCCAGATATAGCAGCACTTGTCAAAATCTTGCAGGACGGTGTCAGCAAAACCAGTCGGGTTCAGCGAGAGCCCCGAGAGGGGCCGAACAGCGCACCTAGACGGCTCCAAGAGACCCCCAAAGCACTCCGAGGGGACCCCACGAGGAACATGCTCGGTCTACGAGGAGGAGTTCGAATTGAGGGCCCTCCCCTCTTTTGAGCCACGGGGCCCAAGATCGTCCCAAGAGGGCAGCAACAAAAACCTCAAGAAAGCCCCAAAAATCCCCCAAACGGCGCCAAAATGTTTCCAATCGTCATCGCAGAAGCTCTTGCAAAACATCCGCGAATCTCCTCCAGCTCCTCATTGTCCTCTCCTATGTCCTCCTCCTGCTCATCCTGCTGCTCCTCCTCCTCCTCCTCCTCCTTATCAGCATGATCATAATCATAATTATCATCATCATCATCATCATCATCATCATCATCATCATCATCATCATCATCATCATCATCATCATCGTAATCATCATCATCATTATCATCATCATCATCATCAGCATCATCATCATCATGATCATCAGCATCATCAGCATAAGCATCATCAGTATCAGCATCATCATCATCATCAGCATCATCATCAGCATCAGCATCAGCATCATCATCAGCAGCAGCAACATCATCATCATCATTATCCTCATCCTTGTCCTATTCCTGCTCCCTCATTTCCTCCACCTCCTCTTCCCCCTTCCAAAGATGGCTCCAGAAAGCCTCTCCGAGGCTTTTGAGACAGCTCGCATGGGCATCGGCTGTGGATGAATCTCCTGCTTTGCTGTATAGGCTCTTCCGTCGGCGGTCGGTTTCGCTGCAAATTCCACATTTCTTGTTGTGCAAAGATTCCGCTATATGCATGTAGATGTATGTGTGTGCATTGTCTATGCCGAAGCCCCGGAAGCCGGAGCACACGACATAGAAGTGGCCAAAGGCTGGCCACCCTTCCTGCAGTGAGACACTGGCCGACTCTTCTTGGAAGAGCGCGCCACCTGGGGCCAGGCCCCCCTTTCCACCTCCGCCACCCCCCCGTCGCCTTCGCCCATATTCCGATACATGAAGCGATGTGCACTTCCTGGATCACGGACGGCAACAGGAGCCCGGGCATCGCGCCCAGATGGCATGCTGGCTGCTCGGACCTGTAGGCCAGAAGGGCGTCCCTCGAGACCACGAGGCCCCCTGCCGGCCAAGACGCGCAGAACGTCCCGAGGGCACCCTCACCAGGAGGCACGAGGGCATCCAGCAGGCACGGAGGACGTCAGGGTGCCCTGCCCGAGCCGACCTCGATCTGACACCTCGGTCCGACGGTAGCGTTAAGTCGGGCCTGTCCCCCTACCGGGGGATTCTCGACGAAAAATAAAACATACCCTAACAATAATCAAACAATAATCCAAAAATAGCCCTGGGACTATTTCTAGAGTATTGTTTGGCCTTCTTGGGGTATTTTCGTTGTGGTATTTCTTGTTTTTCCTCGAAAATCCCCCTGTAGGGGGACACGCCCGACATAACGGTAGCGAACGCGACCTGGGGCAAGACCCGGCGGGCGTGCGCCCGCACCAACAAATCGCGGGCGCGCGGCAGCCCGCGGAGAAGCGACACGAAAAGCACTTCGCTGATCGACCTGGCATGCGGCGGGGGATCTGTCGACCTCCCGGCCGAGAGGAGCCAGGGCCGCGGGGAGAAGATAGGGAACCGAACAATGGAATTAAAAAACATTTTAACTAGGAGGTCCACGCGGAATTCTTGGATCCACGCTGGACCCCTGGCGGCGCCGGAGGCGCCGCCAAGGGCCCCCAGCGCCGATCCGAGAAATCCGCGCGGACCTCCGAGTTGTTATGTTTATGTCACTTTTTGTTCCCCTAGAAGGGGGGGAACGAGCGAACGAGGCACCACAGCGGACAGCTGCCCGGGCCCAGGCATACTGAGACCAGGCGGGTGAGGCCAGGACCTCCTGCAGACACACAGGCATGCATTGGAGCTGCGGGGGGGGGAGAGCAGAAGAGTAAACAGGAAACGGCATAAGCATAAACGTTTGGCGGTCCGCGCGAATTTCTTGGATCTGCGCTGGACCCCCCTCGCTGGCGCGCGGAGCGCACCAGGGGCTTCGCCGGAGGAGCCGCCGGGGTGGCCCAGCGCGGATCCAAGATATCCCGCGCGGAGCGCCACTAGTTTATGCTTACAGCGTTGTTTCTTCTTCGACTCCACTAGTCACACATACATGCAGTGGAGCTGCGGTCAAGAGGGGGGAGACGTGAGACTCGGGTACGGGGGACTCGGGTTGGTCTGACGGGGCCATCCTGCAAACGACGGGACCCAAGCAGAAAGTTGACGCGAACTCCCGCTGCAAACGCCGCACGACAACCGGACCGTCAGAATCCAGGACGCGCTCGCCAACGAACACTCCAGCAAGCCCGAGTTCTGGCCGCCCCGAGTCTCACGCTTCCTCGAAAGAGGTGGGGGGGGCTCAACCTTAGGGAGCCCACAGAGGACGTACGCGCCCAACCATGCACACGAACACGTCCCCCTGATCCGCGAGACCCGCCGCGTGATACGAACATTCGCGCAACGCTTGTGGATGCCACGACAATGGACACCCTGACAATCCGATCATTGAGTTAAACATGTGTTTAACATATGTGGAACATTTTCTAACCATGTTTCCAGCATGCTTTAAATATTTAAAACATGTTTTAGACATCTGGAAATCATTTGGCAGCATGCCCCTTTCCAGCGATCAACTTCCACAGCGCAATGCGTACTCTCGAAACCAGCGTGGACTCGTGTCCGCGTGCGTCCTTCTCTCGCCCCCGAAGCCCGGGAGCGCTCGCCGCCCGCCGGGACGACTCCGACGGTGCAGTGAGGTGGGCCGAGGAGCCGCCTTACCCGGTCGTCTTCCGGAAGAGAATTCTCGAGCCGCCTTACCCGGCCGTGTTCCGGAGAAGAATGTTCGAGCCGCCTTACCCGGTCATGTCCCGGAGGAGAACTTTCGAGCCTCACCTGGCCATCCTCTGGAGAAGGAATTTCGAGCCGCATTAGAAGCCGGCACCGCAAGAGAGGGGGGGGGTCACAGGGAGAGGGGGGGGCGAGGCCTGCCTGGCCCGCGGGGGCAAGGCTCGGGGGGGCAGGCAGGAGGCCCCGGAGTCGAATCGACGAGTCGGATCGGCCTCAGGTCGGGCGTGTGTCCGAAACACTCCAAACACATGTCTTAGAAATGAAGGGCAAACACAATCGAAAGATCGTCCCCAGACTATGCTTTGACTATTCTTGCGCATGTCTCCTGTAGAGGGGGACATGCCTGACTTCAGATCGGCCGTCGGCATGGATCGGATCGGCGGACATCGGCAGCCGAGTCGGGAAACATCGAATCGGCAGACGTCGGGAGGATAGTCGATCGGTCCACCATCGGCGTTGGGCGCTGGGGGCTCGGTGCATCTCCCCCCCAGAGCCAGCCGAAAAGATTACCAAGAAACTGATCATCTACGAGACCTGGGCCAGCATCCCAGAACAGAGCCAGCCGAAAAGATGACTGATCATCTACGAGACCTGGGCCAGCATCCCAGAAGTGTCTGACAGCAGGCCTGGGCTGACCTCTGCTGCTTTCCGCTGGCGGGGCGAGCGTGCTCGGGAAAACTGGGCCGGCTATGTCCCGCAAGCTGCTCAAGGAACGCCGGCCGAGCCTGGCGAGAGGAAGTTTCGCAATCAGATGCTCAGCGGTACAGTCGAGGCTGATTGGAGAGGACACACGACAGACACAAGACCCCTTCCGAGGGCCACACTGCCACAGGGATACAGAAGGCATGGGTCGCTAAGCACAGGACACCATGGTACCCCCTTGATTTGGCGAGGTCGACCTACGAATCAGGCTCGCCTGTGCCCCCCCCCCCCTGATGCTGCCCCTGAAGGGTTCTCGGAGGGCCCAGGGCTTCCTCGCAGCCGCCCGGAAGGCTCCTCCTCCTCCTCCTCCTCCTCCTCCTCCTCCTCCTCCTCCTCCTCCTCCTCCTCCTCCCCTGGGCCTCCGCAGTCCGCCTCGCGGCCCCGCCCGCGCAGGCGCCGCCCAGGGGCTCCGCCGCCTCGGCCGCGCGGAGCCGACCTGCCAGCGCGGGCCGCGGGGGGAGGCCGGCGGGCGCGGCCGCTCGCACACTCCGCGCGTGTGGCTCGGGGGTGGACTGAACCCCCAACAGTGACACGTCGATTAGTGAATTGTCCGTTTTCGGTTCTCCAGAGGGCGCCGTGGCCGTTATTTTCCAGGCTTGCGCCCGCCAGGTTTGGGCCTCAGGCCGTTTTCACTAAACCACGTTTCACTAAAGGGGGGTCTGTCCATCCCCGAGTGGCGCGTGGTGCACAGTTGTCGAAGAGACGTAAGACTCGGGTACGGGGGACTCGGGTTGGCCTGATGGGGGCCATCATAAAAGTGACGAGACGCAATGTGGAATTTGACGCGGGCTCCCGCTGCAGACGTTCCCACGGACACGGGACAGTCAAAGTCCAGGACGCGCTCGTCAAAAAAACGTCGGCAAACCCGAATTCCGGCTTACTCGAGTCTTACGTTTCCCCGAAGTTGAGCAGGGACCGACCGTCCCGGCATCCCTATAGGCCTACCACGAGATGTCCCTAGAGCCCCAACAAGGTTCTAAGAACAACAGCGCTGTTCTCAGAGCAGAGCCCGAAATGTGGAGAACGGCTCTTAAAACACTGCTTGGTCATTAGGCCCACAGGCACGCCAAGACGCTTCGCCACTGCTTGACACATGGCGCCATGTGCACCGTGTGCACCACGTGGGACCCGTGCAGCGGTGGACATCGCGGTGTGGCGGGCTTGGGCGGCCCCTCCCTACGCGGGGCGCAGGTCTGGCGGCAGTGGGGCGCGCCCGGCGGCGCAGCGGATCGCAAGGTGCGGGCGCTGGCGAGCCGCGCGCAGCACCCCACACGAGCGAGGCAAGACAGCACCGCGGCGCCACGCGGAGACGAAGAACAGGGTGCAGAAGTAAGCAAACACCGCGGAGGTCCGCGAGCGCGGTCCTTCGCACGCCCTCCGCGCGCCAGGGAGGGGGGGGCCCAACGCCGACGATCCGGGAAGTCCGCGCGGAGCTCCAAGAGTGCATGCGTTTGTGCAGCTGCTTCAGCGTCGAGCTCAGCAACTCCAGCTGGGCCAATGCTGAAAGGCGCAGCGCGAAGCAAATGGTCGGCAGCACCGCTTCGTGGGACTGCTGGCAAGCCATGCCGTTAACACCCGGCGTGAGCGTTGGATGAGCGGCCGTGAGAGAAAGGCGCCCGTCTTGTGCTCAAGATGGGCCCGGCCAATATCGGTGAGGTTGACAATTGACGTCCCCCAATATCCGCGAGACTGCGGACAATTCTTGAACAGCGTTTCGGGAAGAAGTTTCGAGCGATGGCGCGATTCACGAGCAAATCACGAGGATCTCCAAAGCGAGAGCTTGATTCTTGAGAGTTGGGGGCGCGGCGCCGTCAGGAATTGTGATACAATTCCACAAGAAAGCGCGATTCCTGTGTACATTCGGAGAAAGTCCCGCGCGAGAGCGCGCTTTTGACATACATTGCAAGGAAACATGAAACGGAAGCCGCTGTTGTTGTAAACCGGGGGCCAAGGGCCCAGTTTGAGGATGCAGTCTTTTTATGTAAAAAGCAGGGTGCGAGCTCTGGAGGAGCATTTCACTTAGAAAACACGAAAGGTGCAGCGGGCAGGGGGAGACCAAGACACATAATCCTTCCGAAATGAGAATCGAATGCAACAATAAAAGAACCTCCCGCCTGACATTCCCTCACCATGTATTCAACATCAAGCTTTATTCGGTGATCGCGATCAATTTTATGAAACGTGGCGTCAACGACAATCCTCGACACTCCAGAATCACGCTCTCGCTCTGGACTTCCACACGATGTACTTGGACATCGCGCTGTCGTTTGACATTTCCTCGCGATTCAAACGACGGGACGGACACTCCAACGATCCTCCCGCTCGACCCAACTGCCTGGGCCCGCCCGCCCGCCCCGGCCGAAAGGGTCAGCCCGCACGACCCGCCATCTGCTTTTGCGCGCTTCGCGCAACAGCCCGAAGCCAGCCGACGATCGAGGAGCAGGCCCGAAAGAGCAACGGGGACGCAGAGGGATCGGAGGCCGAGCGATCCCCCCGCCCCCCCCCGCGCGAGCGCGAGCGAGCGAGCGCGCACGCGAGGACCCTTGCCTGTCCCCGCCCCGCACCTCTGCCCGCACAAGCGCCCGCCCGCTTAGATTGCCACCCTGCGTAAGCAGAACGGACGGCAAGGGCGGCCTCGACCCGCATGCCGCCGCACATCCTCTTCCGCCCTGTCCTGGCCTGAAGCCCCTCCCGCTAGTCTTCCTCGTGTTACTTCCTTCTCCATTCCCAATTGTCCCTGGCTGCCTCCTCCTCCCCTTCCCTGTTTCTGGAGCTGCGGCAACTACACGTGGCAAGTAAGCAAGGTATACCCCTATCAGGGACACGATCGACGATGAAGAAAGCGGTTATCGGGGGTTCGAGGTACACATGTTAAGTTGCACGCGAGCAGACCAGAACGATCAGCCATCACACACTATGTTGTTGTCCGCGACCCACCCCCGACCCACCAGGCGACCAACCCCGCGACCCACCCGCAACCCACCCTCTACCCACCAACGATCCAACCCGCACCCGCTCCCCCCCCACTCTTATCCGCAGTTGCAGGGTGCTGCGAAAAATGGGAGATGCACGGCAGCATCAGCGTTCATGCCCGTCAGTCGACCATCTCTCGGCGTGCTGCTGCTGAAGTGTGCCGGGCTTCGGCGCACAGAGCCACGGAGCAGCACGCGCAGCGTGAGAGACGACGCGCGCGCGACACGTACTGCCACCCCTCGGGGCAAGGGCAACCCGTCGTGACCGAGAGAAGACAAGCCCCCGACCCCGATATATGGCAGATCGGCCGAGGGCTCGCGAACCAACCGGCCAGAGACTTCGGGGTATGGTTTGCGCTCGTCGTGCTGGCCCGCAGGGTCAAACCCGACCCCGAGATCTCCCTGCCCGAAATCTCAGGGAGCCTGCGTCCTGCTCTAGCGCTCGCGTTGTCGGAGTGGGGCGCCTGCTTTCGGGCAGTGACTTCGCCGGACCGCCGCCGAGCCGATCGGAAGAGCGAGCCAAGGGCGGACGGAACCTCGGGGGCCTCCGAGCGGACCGGTGACCACAACGTCTGGCGAGTCGGAAGATCACCGCGAGAAGACTTTAGAACCCCCCTCTCCACCAAGAGGGGACAACTCATGCATTTCTTCGTCGGCCTTCTTGAAGGTCCCTCCAGTAGGGGTCCATTCATCATGTTGTTCCGCGGCACCCGCCCGGCAACAAGGAGCAGGAGGGCGATGAGGAGGAGGAGGATGAGGAGGAGGAGGAGGAGGAGGAGAAGGAGGAGGAGGAGGAGGAGGAGGAGGGGGAGAGGGGGAGGAGGAGGAAGAGATTTCAGGACCAGTCCTATTCACTGCCGAAGGAAAAGGGGGAGTGATAAAAACTAAAGACCTCCTGAGGTTACTCTGGGTGAGCGGAAGGTTTGGCACTTTGGTCACTCTGCGAATACGGCTTGAACGCCGCGGGCCTCCAAAGTCCCACGACAGTCCCACAGCCATCCGGTGACAGACCGCTTGCCAAGGTCATGGGACGGTCTGTCACCAGACTGTTTCTTGAACCCCGAGGGGGGGGGGAAGAGCACATGTGTTTCCCGGCCGGGAGCGAGTCCGATAGCCGGTCGGCGTACGCCCGAACGAGCCTGTCCACAAAGTAGACCAGGTTGTCGCACGTCAGGTATTGCAGGGCGAAGGCTTTCGCGTTCTGCGCGATCTGCTTCGCCTCCGCATCGTGCCGCCTGAGCCACTCCACCTTCTCCACCAAGTCCACTAAGTCATACCGCACAGGCACGTAATGCACGTACGGTTCGAGCATGTCGTGGACCGCGAACACCTGCCAGGGCCCGTCCGGAATGAGCACCACGGAGCTGGTGAACAGCTGCCAGTAGACGCGATCGGCGGCTGCGAAGCCCTCCACGGCGATCGCGTACTTGTACGCTGCCTGGTCCCTGACGGTCATGCGCTCCGACACGAGCAGGCCTTCATCGATCAAGAAGCGCTCCAGGGCAGGAGCCGCCCAGCCTCTGTCCTCTGGGTCCTCGAAGTGCACGAGCTTGGCATCGATCATCCAGGGCACGAAGCGCCCCGTCCACACCAGGCGGCCGCGCGGCATCTGATGCCACGTGGTGAAGTTCCACAGACAATCGAAAGTCTCATTGCCGCGGGGCACACACTTCTCCAGCTCCTCGGCGTCGTCGGCGGCGGCGGTCAGCCTGCAGCGGGAGGTGCGGCAGTTTGACGCCGTGCCGCGCCACACCAGCTTCGCCTCGCGCTCCTCCCAGGGCACGTGGCTCCCCGCCTGCAGCGCGTCCATGACATGGCGGTTGCACTGCGCGGGGTGCAGCTGCCACTCCGCCGGCAGCGCGATCGTGTTGGCCCACCTGGTCCCCGCGCGCGTGAACACCGGCACGCCCTCGAAGCCCACGGTTGTGATGTCATGGGTGTTGAGGATCAGGTCGAAGTCCGGCAGCGAGCCCGTCACCGCGGATACCACGATCAGGGCCATCCGGAAGGCCTTCATGTAGGAGCAGTCGAAAGCGGGGAGATCGCCGCACGACTCCGCCTCGTCGCACGCGATCACCTCGCCCCCGCGCGCCGAGATCAGGCAGCCTTGGGAGATGAAGGAGCGCTCCAGGCGCCACTGCTTGCTACGGCCCGCCATGGCCACCACCCCGGCGTCGAGGGAGCTCGCAGCCACTCGAGTGCCGACGGCCTCTTCCAGGCGGACCTCGGGTGGGCCCGAGCTCTTGCGGGCGTAGACCGGGTAGCAGCACTGCAGGTGCTCCTCGGACATGACTGATCCGTTGAAGCCCTGGGAGCGGGCGGCGCACTCGAGCTCCGACCGCCAAGACAACGGCGGCTCGCAGCAGTCGCAGTCCTGGCTCCACAGCAGCGGCGACGTCGGGTCAAAGCACGCGAACTTCCACAGCTCAGGTGGCCGTGAGACCAGGTAGCTATACAAGTTCGCGTATCGCAGTAAGACCTCAACTTCCTCCGAATTGCCGCTGGCCTCCATCGTGCGCACCTCCTGCTGAAGCCTCTCCATCTTGGACAGCACCCTGCCCTCCAGCCGCTCGTAGCACTCCCTGTAGCCTGGCGGGAGCGCGTGGCAGCAGAGCTCCTCGGTGTACCAGAACCCGCCCCAGCAATTCCTGGCGGGGCTGTCCCCGCAGCACTCCGCGAAGGAGTAGCCGCTGTTGTACCAGCAGAGGCCGTTGCCCGGTACATCCTCCGCCTCTCGGGGCGCCCCCCAGGAGGGGGGAAATGTTGTTGACATGGAGACGAGGGTGAATGATTGAGGCAACACGCAAGGCCCCACCTCTGTGGTGATGTGTCGTCTCCCTCCAAGAACCCCGCGGTCAAGCAACGCACGGCGGCGCCGGGACGTGCGCTTGAAGAACCTGCTTACTGCAAAACCCAGTAAGCGGGGACTTGTGGTAAACCAGGACGCCGACGAACACGGAAAAACTGCAGCCTTGGGTCGAAACACTCTCCCTCCGCGACCTCCGACCAACGCAAACGGGGATGTTGATAACCAAGGACATACTTGCGCACCTGAGAAAGCTGCAGACACTGGCTGAGACGTGTTATTCCTTATCCGTCTGCTCCCGCTGGATCTTGCAAAGTCCTGGCTGCAATGCCGTGGTGTCTGGGGCTCTGAGCCCTTCTCGGAGGAGGGCTCAACGAAGCAATGGCAGCTCAACGCCGGTCCCCCGCCCCCCTCCCAACGCCCAAGCGCACTAATTCTCCAGGCTGAGCCCAGCCGTGGCGACGGGAGGGGCACCCATCTGCGCTGGCCCCGCTTGGGAGCTAAATCGTTTGCTCCAGGAGTGTCCCTGGCGGAGCAGACCGAGCCACGACGAGTCACACAAGCATACATAAGAATAAAGAAAAACCCCAATCTAATCAATGATTTTGGCATTGTCGCCGAGGCCTCTTGGAGCGTCTTGGGTGCCTCTGGGGGGCCTCTTGGGGCCGCTTGAGGGTCTATTGGGAGCCTCTTGGGGGCATCCTGTGGGCCTCTTGGGGGCCTCTTGGCGCCTCCTGGTCACCTCTTGGGGCCCTCTTGGGGCACCCTTGGGAGCCTTGGGAGCGCTCGTGGGGCCATCTCGGAGGAGATCGATCAAAGAAGGGGGGCTCCTGAATTCCCCCGAAGGTCAACTACCGTTGTCCCAACTCGCCCTCCTCTGACCTCCTTCGACTTCTCGGGTCGGACCTGGCAGAGTCCTGGCTTGCAGTGCCTTGGCTTCCCTGGGGAACCCGAAAGGAACGGCTACCGCTACTCCCCCAGACCTCTCCCAGGGTGCGTTCTAACGAGAACTTCCAAGCGAATCTGGCGGTGGCCACGAAGGCCTCCTGGGAGGCCACGAAGGCGAGAACGAGGGAAGGGTAGCGGCATCGGCACCATATCCTTTCTGAGGCTTGCGGTGTCCAGGCTTCCCAGGCCCCGAGCCTCGTCCGCCCCCGCGCCAGCCCTGGCGGCCGCCAGCAGCAGCAGCAGCGGCGGCGGCGGCGGCCACCGCGCCCCCCGCCGGCACCGCAAGGGCGACATGGCCGGCGCGGCGCGGCCCGCGTCGCGAACAACAGGATCGACGTCGTCGTCGTCGTCGTCGTCGTCGTCGTCGTCGTCGTCGTCGTCATCGTCGTCATCGTCGTCATCGTCGTCATCGTCGTGGTCGTGGTCGTGGTCGTCGTCGAGGTCGTGCTCTTCATCGTCGTCATCGTCGTCGTCGAATATTTCATTACTTGAAAAAAAAACTTCCTTGTGGATCTCCAGGAACGGTTCCGCACTCTCTCGCCTCGACGACGGCTGGAAGTCCTCTGAATACGAGGCTCCTGCTCGAGCGCGGGCTTGATTGAACAAGTGTGCACTTGGAGGCCTGGCTACGACGACAACGGCTCCCGCCAGGTACTTCCCCATTCCTCACTCCGAGAGGCCATGTCCAGGAAGGTTCCAGAACTGGGGAACGGCTCTCGCTCGAGAATTCCTCGTCCAATCAAGTAGGTTGAGGCCCAACTACAACAAAAAGGGCTAAATATCCATACTCCCTCACGATTTACTCTGAGAGCACATGGCCAGGGAGGCCCGCCCCCACCCGAACTTAGGAACGGCGGTCTCGCTCGAGAATTCTTCGTAATCCAATCAAGCTGGTGGAAGCCCAATTACGACAATGGCTCTCGCTCGATGCTTCCTCACGATTTACTCCGAGAGGCACTGGCCAGGAAGGCCCCGGAATTCCGGATCGGCGCTCTCGCCCGAGTGTTGCTCACAATTCCGTCGAATTGGTGGAGGCCCACCCACGATGACAGGGGTTCCCGCTCGATGCTTCCTCACGCCTTACTCCGAGAGACCTTGGTTAGCGAGGACCCCGAACTCAAGAACAGCGCTCCCGCTTCCTCGCATTTCAATCCATCGCCGACACAGAAGAAATCCCCCCCTAAGGGGGTACCATCGAAAACGAAGTAAATGATCATTGTTTGTGTGGTTGTCGTGGTTGTCGTCGTCAGAGTCGTCGGTCATGCGTCGTCCGTCGTGCTTCGTCGTTGTCGTCAGCGTCGTCATCGTCGTCGACACAAGTCGTTTTTCAAATCTCCAATCCCCACCTCTCCAAATTACCCCTTGTGACACGCCGCGCAGTTCGTATTTGAAAGAGGCAGTGCTGCTTCGGCGCGGCGCATGCTTCGTCCTCGACACGCACATCGGAAGCCTTTCCGCCCCCACCCCTGCGCGGCCCGCACAGTTTCCCTTCGCCACATCGTCGGAAGCGGACCTGCACGGGAGCGCCGTCCGCTCGCTAGGTGGGAGCTCGCTCCACTCCAGATACCAAGCTGTGCCACCCTTGATTCTGATGTGCGGGGAGGGGGAGGGGAGAGAGGGCAGAATAGGATTATTTTGAACAGTAATCAAAAGATAATCTGGGGACTACTTTTGGAGCCTTTTTGATCACTTTTTCTTTTTCGTCGAGAATCCCCCTGTACAGAAGGACAGAGGGAATGGGCGGGGCCCGCTGCCTCGTTCGACCTGGCTCTCTTGACCCCGGCTCACGCCTTCTCCCCCTGCCCATGCCGGAGGCCGCCCGACCACATAGCGGTCGCGCCGCATCGCCGCGGCATCCGAGTCGTGGTGCGGTCCTCCGGCCCCGTCGGCCCCCTTTGCCGGCCTGGCCCTCTCTCTCCTGGGGCGTTCCCCCCCCCCCCCAGGCCTTCAAAGCGTGGGCAAAACGAGCGCACATGTCTTCCGCACCTTTTGGCCCCGTCGCTGGGCCCCCGACAGTCCAAAAGTATCGCGGGTGGAAAAGAGGTCGTTGGGAAAAGGGCCGGGACTCTCGGGGACCCCGCGTTGCAAAAACTTGTTTCTTTTTGTCAGCGCTTACGCGACGCAGTTGTAAATTGAACGCGCAAGACAAATTCAAACCAAAAAACACAAAAACACCAGCTCACATTTTGTTCTTTTTGCGTCCTTCCGGCCTCCCCCCTCCTGTCCCTGTTCCCTCCCTGGCCCGATGACGCGGCACATGCGGCAGCTCCGCGCATCGCGAGCGGGGATGCCATCGACCCCGCCGCCTCTCCGCTGCCGGCGCTCGAGCCAGGCCCACCCGCGAGGGCCCCGCCGGGCCAGAGAATGGGCGAAGCCACCCGGTGAACCAACACGCGGCGGCAGGCCAGCCCGCTACGCTTCCCGCGGAACAGATTCACCAAAACAGGACCCCGAACCCTTTGGGAGGGGACTTTAGTTGGGAGGGCCAAGAAAACATCAGGGATAGGGGGTCTGTTTTTTCTGCAGATGCACCGAACCAATCCGCCCCGAACTGTTACTCCTCGGGGACCTCAATAAGGACACGTCTTTATCGCGTTCCCAGGGTTAAAGGTTCGATTGCTCTCGATGATCATGGGTGCCTGCCGAGGCACCCTCAGGGGCTCCTGCGCTTTCCTCGCACACAGGCCACTCAACGTGGGCGTCTTGGTCTGCACGGCGCCTTCAGCGTAAAGCGCACACCCCCGGCAACGATGCCCTCTGGCATCTTTCCGCGGACCTCCGAGTTCCGAGCTCCTGCTTGGCCCTGCCCCCCCCCCCAGATCCACATCCCCGGCGCCCCGGCGTCGCGTACGGCGTGCGTGGGCCCCCCGAGAGAGGTCTCCGATGTCCCCCGCCTATGGGACCGGCCTGCCACCCCGAGCCGTCGACTGTGGACGGCCCCCGGGGCCCAGCGAGGGCCCCCAGAGGCCGGAAGTGGCAGCAACTGCCCGCCGCGTTGGCCTCACGGTGCGAGGAGGGGGGGGGTCCTCCTCCTCTGGGGGCGTGTGGAAAGGAACACCCACACGAACACGGGCGGGGATGCCCACGCCAGAGAGAGATGATCCTGGATGTTTGTGCTGGTGCTACTCTTGCGGCCGCCCATACACAAGCGCGTTCCACTACTCTCCAAATAACTACTCGCAATTAGTCCGGATCCACCGAGGGGGATTTGCGATACATCACGCCGAGGCAGGCGCTTGTTTTTAGGACCTCTTGCGAATAGGCACTCTGCGAGTAGTAGTAGTGGCACGCGCTCGGTCAACAAAGAAAGTCCCAATGAGACCACCATCGCCGAGAGCGGGATCATCTTCCCTCGGTGGAGGTAATTATAATTGCCGCCGATATTGCTGCCGGTGTCCACATCGAGGCCTCCGATCCCTCCTCCTCCTCCTCTTCTTCCTCCTCCTCCTCCTCCTCCTCCTCCTCCTCTTCCTCCTCCTCCTCCTCCTCATCTTCCTCCTCCTCCTCCTCCTCCTCCTCCTCCTCCTTCCTGGCCCCCCCCCCCCGCCCCCCCTCGCGCGGCCGGAGCGCGGGGGGCGACCCCCGGCGCGCTCGCTCGGCGGGGCCCCGCGCGTGCCGGGGCTGGACCGGTAGCGCTCCTGGGGCGGGGCCGCCGCTCGCGGGCACCCGTCGGAGGAGGAGGAGGAGGAGGAGGAGGAGGATGAGGAGGGGGAGGAGGAGGACGCTCCCCAGACGTCCCCCGGCCTCCCATGCAGACCTCCTCTCCTCGCGCCGTGAGAGGGCGCACGGCGGCGGTGTCTTTCGCCTCGGGGGCCCCCGCCCCGCGGCCGCCTCCCTCGCCTTGCCCCCCGTCCTCTTGCGTGCGGGCAAGCTCGCGATTCCGCGCGCTGGTTCTCGCCCAGACGCGCGTGCGTGCAGGGGCCCGGAACAAACACACACACACACACACACACACACACACACACACACACACACACACACACACACACACACACACACACACACACACACACACACACACACACACACACACACACACACACACACACACACACACACACACACACACACACATACACACACACACACACAAATCAGTACACACAAATCCCAGGGTTCCCCCATACGTTCGCATACTTTCTGAGCTTCTGTCTTCCCCCCCCCACTTCCCATATCTTCGCATATTTTCCTGGGAATCGGCGAGATTGATTGCGTCTGTGTGTCTTTTGTTCCCCCTGAGTGCGGATTGCCTCTGCCGCGCTGCGGCGTAAAACATGCTTCTCGCCTATAGGGATGCCTTCCCGAGGACGCCTCGCCGAGGGCGTATGGGGTGCCCTTCCAGCAGCTGCTCGCCTTCCAGCGGGCTATTCGTTCCAGCGATCTGGGGTGCCCGGATCGCATGGGTCGGCCGCCAGAGGCCGAGGCCTCCAGCGCATTACAAAAAAATGCTGAGGTTCTTCGCTTCCTTACCTCCTCCTCCTCTGTTCCTCCTCCTCCTTCTCCTCCTACTGGTCGTCGATGTGCTTCAGGGTCGGCGGCATCGGCCGTCAGGCCCTCTCAATAAATAAGATACGCGGAGGTCTTTCGCCGGCTTCGGCCTTTGCGAGCCCTCACCGGGCCCCAGGGCCCATCACGAAGCCAGTCAGGGTGAAGAAGTCGGTCCCTGGGACTGGGATGCAGATCAGGATGAAGAAGTCAGAATGAAGAATTCAGATCAGTCGGTCCCTGAGACTGACCTCAGGATGAAGAAGTCAGATCAGTCGGCCCCTGAGACGGAACTCAGGATGAAGAAGTCAGGGTAAAGAAGTCAGGATGAACAACGCAAAAGTCATTGCACACAGCGGGGGTAGGGCCTGGGTCCGAAGGATCGATCTCTGTCCATTCCTAATGGGCGCGAGGTAAAAAGAACTGCCCACATGTATAACCTCAGCACATCTGGGGCCGCAGATCGAAAAAACACGTCGTCGGGCGCCTGGGGGGACCATGCCCTGGAGGTCGCTTCGGGGACAACGCTGTCGACAAGGCTAGATCCCCCAACGCTCGGCCGGCGCGCTTGATCCGTCAATCGCAACCCTTCTGACCCCGATTCGCAACAGACAAAAACTCGGATCTTATGGGCGTGCTCCTACCAACGTTTTTGTTGGGGGATGCTGAGGCTTCCTCTGGCCCTACAAGCATTACCACCTCCTCCGTCGCCCCAGAACGCGCAGATCGCGT